GCGGCCTCGGCACGGACCGCCCGCCCCGCGGTCATCACCAGGACCCCGGCGGTCCCTGCCGCCGACCGCCCATGCCAGACAGCTCCGGGATCCTCGGAGGAGGCCGCAGTCCCGCCAAGAGGCGGCAGGAGCGCCGTGCTCTCGGGGCTGGGAGGACTGCGGAAGGGCCTCTGCCCTCCATTGCAGCCTACGTCCGCCCGAAAGAAAAGGCGTCCGCCACGCTCTCTCCACTGACCAGGCCCTCGGCCCGCCTGGATGGAGTGCAGTGTTACAACAGAAAGCAGCTCACTGAGTTGATTCTAATCTGTTCGGGGTGAGCTGCCTGGAGGGGAGATGCCTCGGTTTACAACATTCCATCCGCAGGCAGCAGAGGGCGTGGAGAGGGCTCTGTGGGACGGCTCCGGAAGTGCTTCCCGAGTAGGCAGCTGCGGCTAGGGCTGCACCGGTGCCTAGGAGTCCCTGAAGGCGGCTTACGCGGGAGAACGGTGCTTGCATCCAGAAAAATTAAGAGGCCGAGGCTGACAATTGAGAGATGTCATAAGAGAACAGGTGCAGGGAGATGTTCAGTTAGAAATGGAAATCGGGTTTCAAATCCAAAAAAGGCTGGGGGTTGGGTGAATACTTACATTCAGGGACACCAGTCATTCTAGTTTGGCTTAAGAATTAACCAAATGAGGGGCTGGGGAGATGGCTCAGTGCAATAAGCGCTTCTCTGGCAAGCGCAAGGGCCAGAGTTCAATCCCCGGTTCCGCAAAAAAAACCCAGAAAACAAAACACTACCACCAAACACCAAATGAAGGCAGATTTTAGGAGTTAGGGATAAAATAGCGAGACTGTGACTAAGATACGCTTTGAGTCCTGGTTTTGTTCGTAAGTAAAGTGTTTAACCTTTCTGGCCTCATTTATAGGACAACGGTAATAAGTTCCTTACATTTCCAAGGATATTGCATGGCAGACCAAGCGTTTACTCAGTTAAGACCCTGAGTGAGCTCCTGGGAGTGCAGTGGTGAAGGGGGAAAGCAGCAACGGCGGAGCCCACTTACGGCAGATGGACACAGATGAGGGGAAGCGCCTAGTGCGAAGTGCAAGAGAGCAAGAGAGCTTAAGCGAGTTGGAGGAGGAAAGCTGGAGAAGTGTGCCTGTGTCAGCCAGCTCTCCTGCTGGTGGACTGGAAACCTGACGGGAAAGAGGAGAGGTTTAATGTATTTATTTTATTTTTGAAACAGAGTCTTGCCATGTAGTTAAGGCTGGCGTTGAGCTCACTTTGTACTGCAGGCTGGTCCCGAACTCACAACAATGCTCCTGCCTCAGGCTCCTGAGTACTGGGATTACAGGCATGCACACCTCCACCCCCTGGCTAATTTTTTGGGGGGTATACTGGGGAGTAAACTCAGCACCTTGTGCTTGTCAAACAGGCACTTACCCTGTTGAGCTATCTCTCTGGCCCTCTGGCAAACATTTTATTAGACTTATTTTTGGGGGGGAAATAGAGGCAACCATCCAACTCAGAGCCTTGTGCTTGCCAGGCATGGTTTAATTTAGCTCCAGTTTTGCAGGAATTCAGAACAGGACAACAGCAGAGTGTGGCTGTGAAAAGCTGCTTAGTTCTCCTGAGCAGAAGCAGAGCAGTGAAGAGCTGGAAGAGGAAGGGGGAAGGGGCCAGGCCTGGCGCGGGGAGGACACCTGGGCGGTGCTTTGCTGTGCTGGAGGTTTCCAGGAGCCCCGAGACTGGCTGGCTGGTGAGCTGGAAGAACAGAGATGATCTGAAGAAAATAAGCTGCTCAAAAGCGAGATCCCAAAGGCTACACAGGGCTCCGAGTGGCAAGCTGGAGGGTGAACTCAGGTGGGCCGAGGGAGGAGGGCCCTGGCCAAGACTCTGGATCTGGGAGCTCAAGTTCTGACCATCCTGAATTGCACGGGCCTGAAATGACCATGAGAGCTGAAATCCCATAGAGGGATATTGGTGAAAGAGAAAAATGTGTGGTGGTTCTGTGCTATTTAAGTTTGGCCAAAACACTTTAGAAACTATACTGCTAATTTTAAAAAACATTTTATCTATTTTAAAACTAATACTTATGTAGTACACTGCAAAGCATGAAAAACTTGGAACCAGTCCTGGAGCAATTTATTTATTTAGTGTGTGTGTATGTGTGTGTGTGTGTGTGTGTGTGTGTGGCCAGCTCAGCCCACCAGGGGGCGGAGCTGGCTGGCATGTGGTGCTGGGGGATTGAACCGCGGTCCTGTGCTTTGCTAAGCTTGTTCTAAGTAGGTGCTTTAGACCACTGAGCCATCTCACCAGCCCTTCCTGGAGCAACGTAAATTCTGCTTACTGGACTTTTTCTCTCTGGCTCCGATAGTACTGCACCTTTCCTTGCTTTAGACTTAAGTCTCATCTTCTGTGCTTTGCTGTGCTATCACCATTTTTGGCAGAACCAGGGATTGAACCCAGGCCCTTGCGCTTGCCAAGGAAGTGCTTATTCCACTGAGTCATCTCCCTATCACCATTTTTAAATTTGTTAATCACATTGATTTCATTTCTAGCATTATTTATATCTATTTGTACTTTCATTTTCCTTACCCAACATTTTTTTTTTTAATTAGTAAGAATTGTGTATGTCTCCCCAAAGCCTCATGCAGTCAGGGAGTGGCTTCTAGAGTTTGATTAATGCATGATCCAGTGCTGGGATTATGGTGTGAGGGCTGCTGGGATTATGGGTGTGAGTGCTACACCCGCCCTGGGGCAGATAGCCTGAATGCAGTGTGAGGGAGAGCCTGCCCCCAGCCTCTGCTGCTGCCCTGCTGCTCTGGCCTTTTTGCTCTTTGTCCTGCTGCTTTCCACCGCCATGAACTGTTGTCCTCTGCTGTGTACCACTGGGCCTTGGAGCCAGCTAAGTATGGACTGAAACCTCCACACACTGTGAGCTAGATAAACCTTTCCTTCCTTAATTTTGGACATTAGGTATTTTGTCCCAGCAATGAGAAAAGTAAGGAAGACCCAAGGCCTCTGCACTGAGCAACGTCCCCGTCCCTTAGGGTAGTGTATTAGAGCTAAGTTGCCCAGTTGCCTAAGCTGGACTCTTAACTTCCATTCTTCCTGCTTCAGCCTCCCAGATAAATCTCTTTCTTGATCATCCATTTTTGTAAAACATCACATGGCTTTATCATGGGGAAAGGAGACAACCTGACTGTGTGTTTTCCTATGTTTAAAGCTATAGAACATAATAACTAGGAAGTAAGTAGTGACCAGTGTTTAGCTGACTTTGAAAGGACTATGATGCTTGTTTGGTACTGAATGTATTAGCTCCCTCACATGTTCATAATATATTCATATATTAGATTAACATATTCATAATATATATTCATATATTAAGTACTAATCCCCAATAGTTTGGGCTTAGAAGTGAGTTTTTTGGGAGGTAACTAGGTTTCTAAGGTCTAAGGGTGGGGCCTCAATGATGGTAATTAATATCCTTATAAAAAGAGGAAGAGATCCTACAAGCCCTGCCCTTCGTTCCTGCTGTCTCCCCCATGCGCCCACCAAGGAGAGGCTATGTGAGGACATGACCAGGAGGGGAGCCCATTGTGAGCCCTACCATGCTGGTGCCCTGCTGTCACTTTCCAGCCTGCAGTCCTTGAGAAACAAACGTTTCTTAAGCCATTCAGGCAGTGGCATTTCTTAAAGCATGGCCTATGACAGGGTCTGTCTGCTACTCATACAGGACTTTGTGGACTGAAGCGCAGGCTGTGATGTTTGCATTTTATAAAGGCACTCACTGTTAATACACCTTCATAACAAATTCAAGTCATGCTGGTAGACTGGTGTTAACTAACAAAACCATGATAACTGAATGTATGCTTAGCAAACCATGCAATGTTGGCTTTCTGTGTGGACACGGAAGTCGCTGAGTGATGGCAAGAGCTGGGCAGAGATGAGGAGTCTGTTCCAGTAGCTCAGTACCTTGAGCAATGAGAAGGAGTGGGCTAGGAACTAGAGGCCACAAGAATGGGAGAAGTGTGCAGAAGCCAGCTGCTCTACTTCTGGGCTGTGGGATAGAAGGGCTGCGGAGCAACAGCCCACTGTTAAAGAGGGCTGCAGTCAGCCTCTTCCTCAGGACAAGGTAAGTTGCTGTTAAGAACTAAGAATATTCCTGGACATAAAAGCTCAGGGCTTGGGTGGAGCTTGGTGATTGTGTTCAGCCACCATGCCTGAGTCCCTGGGCTCCAGGGAGTGCTGCCAAGTGGAGGGGATCAAGGCAGATGTGTGACGTGCAGGGAGGAGACTTGAGGCAGACAACAGTCATCCCATCGGTTTTCTCCCCAGTTTATCCTTTGAAGCATTCAAAGAGGTAGGGTGCTTAACACCAGCACCCCACTGTAGGCAAAGGCAGCTCTGGTTAGTTCACCGCAGTATAATTTCCATCTCATTGGAACTTAGTGGATAAATAATGTTAAACAAAAATTAACAAATGGATATACAGAAGAAAGGGCCACTGAAGTAGATGTGAGGTCAGGATGGACCCCAACTAAGGATGTGGTAAGTACTAGAAAAGGGGTCACTTGAAGAAATAGTAAAAATTTTAGGGGCTTCACTCCAGTTGAAATGGGTCACTGGCCTTTGAAGGAACTCTACTCGGTCCTTTCTCACAGTCACCCCACGCCCCTCCCCCACCTACTTGCTCCCTCCTGGTTCTGTGGGGTGAGCAGCTCTGGGCTGCCACCAAAACTCCATAGAATGAGCCCTCTAAAACCATTAGCCAAAACAAATCTTTCTTTAAATTTTCCCAGACATTTTCTCATAACCTAGAAAGCATCAACTTGAGTATAACTAGTAAGCATAAATGTAAAAATGTAGCTTTTGCTTGTTTGGTGTTAATACAATTAAGAAGCTCAACTGGACATAAGAACACACCTAATCAGAATAATACAGTTCGGGGCCAGGGAGATAGCTCAGTATAATAAGCGCTTGCCTGGCAAGCACAAGGGCCTGAGTTCAAGCCCTGGTTCCACCCAAAAAAGAAGAAGATTCATAAATGCATGCATTTCATTTATTTTTTGAAGTTGGGAAGTGAACACTGTTCAGTGTACATGCCAAGCTATTCACAGTAAACAGCAAACACCAAGGCCAACGCCACGTAAGATTCAGTTTCGTGTTTGGCTTCCACCCAGCTGTCCCATGCAACATCCCAGATCCATCTGCTGGCAACCTGTGAGAGAAAATTTTAAAAGACCAAATTTCAATTGAATATGTTAAGAATTTTAAAATCCATACTAATTTGATTTTTTTTTTTTTTTTTTTTTTTTTTTTTTTTTTTGCGGAACCAGGGATTGAACTCAGGCCTTTGTGCTTGCCTTGAGCTTGCAGGAGGCTCACAGTCGCCTTCAGAACATGCCACAACCAGAAACAGAAATCCCTGCTTTTAGGTCTAAGAGCACTGCAACCAGTACTGTCCCGTTACGTTATTAGCCATGGTTTGGAAGCCTTTCCACCCTTACAGGACTCCCAGCCAAAAGCTCACAGGGTTCTGTTTTAAAGAAGTGGCAGTGATAATAGCAACAGCCTGTCATATAGAGTCTGTAAGCCTTTACTTTATTTACAGAGTGACCCGTGACCTTATCACAGCCTCATTCTGTGTGGTGGATATAAATAGCCACATTTGTGGCTTCTCCTATCGAGAGGTTGACTTCGTTTCTTCACCTTCTAATATGAGTCAGCCTCATGACTTGGTCTGACCAACAAATGGGACGTTGTATGACTTCCAAGTAGAACAATTAGAGGTCTTGCTCTCTTCCCCCATGGAATGCTGTGCTGACACTCCTGGACGTGAGAGAGGCCTGGTGGCACCATCAGGCCCTAGTGAGTCAACTAGTGGCAGCAGAGCTGCCCCACAGAACAGTGGGCGGAAACGTGGCAATCATCTTAAGCCTCTACAGGTGGAATGATATTTTTTAGTGATGTGGACTAGCATGTTTCCTGACTCCATGCCACTGACAGTGACACTAAGCACACTGGATTGTCCCCACCGTGGGACTGTGTGCTGGGCGTGTGCTCTGCTGAAGCCATCTCTGTGGTTCTTGGCACAGCTGGTCACTCACCATCTGAACGTCTTCTCCAGGCAGTCCAGGTACTCTCAGGCACTCGGGCATAGCAGCCACCACTAGAGGACCTGTCGCTAGCTGAAATTGTCCTGTGACTTAAGCGTGTTTGTCATGAGGGAGAACTCCCCAGGGAGGCAGGACTGGCTCTGCTGACTCATGATTCCTCAGTCCAAGTCTGTATTAGGGACCCTCCTCCATGAAGCCCCTCAAATTGCTACAAACATGTTTTCTGATCATTTTCTAACTCCCCATATTGACAGCCCACTTCCTAGGTACTTACATGGCATGGGGTATCACCCTTTTCTTTAAAAATGAGAATAATTTTATAAAAGACATAATCTCATATAGAACACAATATTTGTAAGAAATAGGTTTCATCATTACTTTTTCTTTCTTTCTTTCTTTCTTTCTTTCTTTCTTTCTTTCTTTCTTTCTTT